GGAAGGTTTGTCTGTTAAATCTGAATGCTCACTAAATCCAAATGAATATAATTGACATCATGTATGCAATTTTCAGTTATATAACTGTACTTACATAAACTACACAAATGATGTGTTACATCAATTATATATTTATGGAAATTACATAAGTCAATTGTCCAAACTACTTCAGAAAAAATGGGCTTTGTATCTGGGGGGGTGGAATCCAAACTAAAATTTCATCTATTGCATTCAAAGTTTTCTAAACAGGGGTTCATAAAAAGCAACATTTTATTATATATACAGTGATCTAGCACAAAGGTTCTGGTCTGGTTCAAGTGTACAAATAAAATATAATTTACTGTAATAAAAGCAAATAGCAATAAGTCTTAACTGTGAATCCCCACTCTGCTCTGGAATAACCACAAGGCATATAATTATAAGCAGTTTTGGTCAGCAAAATAAAGGTGGAGGCAATGATTTTAACCAAACTTAATTTGAAAAAAGTAATCCCATGGTTTAGGGTTGAAGGTTCTGGTCTGGTTCAAGTGTACAAATAAAATATAATTTACTGTAATAAAAGCAAATAGCAATAAGTCTTAACTGTGAATCCCCACTCTGCTCTGGAATAACCACAAGGCATATAATTATAAGCAGTTTTGGTCAGCAAAATAAAGGTGGAGGCAATGATTTTCCCTTAACACACCCTCAAAATCCATTCTGGTGAGCAGGGGAGTCTTACAATCAGAGTTAGGAACAAATTTGGGGGGTATATATGTGACAGCTGTTGGAAAGGAAGAAGGGAGAAGAAAGAAGTCTTCTCATCCAAAATTAATTTCCACAGCTAACTACAGAAAAATTCAGGTTAATCTTAGCTACCTAAGTGAAACAAGTCAACCCTAAACCATGGGATTACTTTTTTCAAATTAAGTTTGGTTATGACAAACCAAATGATATACTAACTTGTAATAAATCTCAAAAGGAAGTAAAAGCTTCTTATCTCCTCCATGCAACCAAACTGGAGGAACTGAGAATATGCTGGGACTATGCAGCAATCCAGATCCAAAGGGGAAAAGTCAAATGAAAGGTTAATCTTGATTCTCCACAAAATGCCAAAGAGTATGGGGGCCGGAGATAAAATATAAAAAAGCAATTATAATGGCTGCGTGTGACTTGTATAAAACATTAAGCACACATCAAAGATAACTATCAAAAGCACAATACTGAAGGTAGTTGGGAAATATGGTTGATGAGAAATTGAAGAACAGCACATGTGAAGTGTTGTTGCAAAAACTACCAACCTTGTTATATCCAAAGGAAAAATGTGAAATAAGGACACTGAAAATAATTCTATACTTGGCTCTAGTAGTATCTCATTTGAAACAGCATCCAGTACTGGTAGTAAGAAGGACAGCACCAACTTAGAAAGGATTCAAAGGAACAAAAACAAGTTAGTAACACATATGATGAGTAAGGCTTTAAAACTGTAGGCCACAACTTGCTAGAGTACCTTATAAAGAAAGAGCATTAGCCCCATCAGACACTAATATCGGAAACCATTATCCCATAACAAAAAGACAAGAGTATAGGTCTCACTCACCATTCAGCCGAGTCTGTCTGTTTGCCCTTACTCGCAAAAAGGTCTATGAACAGAAGACACAAGGACATAAATAAATAGAATTAGGGCTCTGCTACTGAGAAAACCAGAGAATAATTTAATCAATTTTAATAGGTAATCTTGAAAGGAACCCACTCCCAGAATATTTTTACAAATACACACCAGATTCATTCACCTCTTAGATCCCCCATTTCTGGTTTATTTTTTCCATTTCATATTTCCCTAACAGCTTCCTCTATTCATGTTTCCTTTTGCTCAACTCTAACCCATGTTTAGACTTTCAGAACTCTCCCATATAAAAAAATACTGCCAATCCTATTTGCTTCCTATATTCCATAGACTGACCATTCTCAAAAGCATTCAGCCTGTAATAGTAGCTGTGAGCAGGCTGCCTGCCTGTCCCACTATCTTACATTGGCTCAAACCCCAAACTAATTATTTGCCAAATGAGTAAGAGTATCTATTTCGGCCTCATTTTCTGATACAACCTCCTGCTTTCCCCCTCTCTCGGATGCCCTGCCATTCCTAGTAAACTAAGCAGTTCCTACCCAACCCTTAACACAGTTCTCTCCCTCTTCATATAAAAAGAGCCCTCTCCAAGTTTTTCCTGCGGATGTAAACAGACCACTCCCCCTCTCAGGAAGGACGGCCCAGCTTCCCTGAGATGTAAACAAGACCTATTCTCTTCCTTAGCAATAAATGGCTCCGGCCCCAGAAATGGTCCACGCCCGCACCTCCTCCCGGCCACCGGGCTCCCTCCTCTCGCTCTGCATGGCCGGGGATGAAAGTGGATGCGGGCAACGGCCCCGGCACCTGCAATTAACTCCCCGCAACAGCGGTCGCCGCCATATTAGCTACGATCATGTGACTAGCCGTCGCCACGGTCTACGCGGGGTGAGAGTTCAGAGGAAGTTGTTCTCATGGCAACTGAGGCTGGGAGCGGGCGAGGGCTGAGTGGTTTTTGCCGTAATAGTGCGTTCCTCAATTGCTTTTGTAAACACCGGTTACCACAGTCCGGATGCCTGAAAGGTAGTCTGCCCAAGTCCCGGAGATAGCCATCAGGTCTCCCCGTCGCCTTTCTGAGAACTTTGCGACTCCCACAACTCGTTAAAACAAATACACGCTTAAGAGCGCGCCTGTTCTGTACTTTGAAAAGCAGCGTTTTCCCCCTTCACGATAAAGGATCAAAGATACTGATAGCACTCTTTTTTTCTCTCTAATCAAATGAGAATGAGAGTGCTGCAAACACGTGTGCCCCTGTTTTCATAGCAGCATCACCTTTGGTAGATACCCAATATTCTGGTTTCACTAGCCTGTTTCTATATTGATCAAGAAGTAAAGAATGTTCTTTTGGCCAGGTAACCAAGAAATGCATATATCTCCTAAAATAAATGAAAAAAAAAAATCTTGCTAATGGCAGCATTGGAAATGGCATGGCAGTGCATAATTTTCATCCTGATTTATGTTCATAATATAGATGTGTGTTACCTTAATGAAGTTACAAATTATTTTGCCAACAGATTCTGCGGACTACTGTCCATGCATTTAATGAAATGGATCACAATACACAAATGTTTATGCTGTAATAAATTTGCTGATCTTTAAACTGTCACAAGATATTTTTGCTGCAACGTTTCCACACAAATGGCAACAATCATGTAAAACAAAAACAAGAAATCTACACTACAGAAATTTAATTTTCAGATTTAAGATTTAGTACTGTATATTGTGCAAATCCATAAAAATCAGTTTATTCATTAAACTAAAGTTCAGTTAACCTGGATAAGCATATTG